GATAAAAAGAAGGGAATCAAATATACCACTATGGAAAATCATCAATCCACAAAATAAGACAGAAAGAGAGGAAGAAAAAAAGAATGCACCTATTAAAAAAAAAAAAACAAAAACAAAAACAAAAAAAAACAGAAAAGCAATGAACAAAATGACAACAGTAAGTTTTTACCTACCAATGATTTCTATAAATAGAAATGGATAAAATGATTCAATCAAATGGCATAGAGTGGCTAAATGGATTTAAAAAAAAAAAGTCCCAACTATATGCTACCTGTAAGAAACTCATTTCAGCTTCAAGGATACATATAGGTTCAAAATGAAACAATGGAAAATATATTCCAGGCAAATGGAAACCAAAAGAGAGAAGGGGTAGCCATATTTATCTCAGACAAAATAGACTTTAATCCAAAAACTGGCATAAAAGACTAAGAAGGTCAATATATAGTGATAAAGTGGTCAATTTTCAAGAGAATATAAACATTGTTAATATATATGTACCAACATTGCACCAAATAAATATATTAAGCAAATACTAAGAAACATGAAGGGAGTAATAGACAAAAATACAATAGTAGTAGGGGACATCAATAAGGAAATATGGCACTTGAACTATATTTTAGATCAAATAGATCTAACTGACATATATGGACCATTTAATCCAATAGCATCACAGATTATACATTTTTCTCAAGCATAAAGATAACATCTTCCAGGGTGATCATATGTTAAGTCATCAAACAAGTCTTAGAAAATTTAAGAAAACTGAAATCAATCAACTATTTTTTACAACCACTATGGTATAAAATTAGAAATTAAAACAGGATAACCAGAATATTTACACGTATGTAAAAACTAAAAAACAATATACTTCTGAACAATTAATGGGTCAAAGAATAATTCAAAAGGGAAATCAAGAAGCCATTGAAAATAGAAACACATATAATAAAACTTATGGAATGCAGCAAAAGCAATGCTAAGAAGAAAATTTACAGCATAAATGTCAATATTAAGAAAAAAGAAAGATGTCAAATAAACAACCTAACTTTACACCTTATGAAACTAGAAAAACAAGAACAAAGTAATCAAAGTTAGCAGTAGGAAGATATAAATAAGATCATAGCACATCAATGAAATGGAGAATAAACTAAAGAAATGGTGAAAAAATTAAGCGCTGTTTTTTCAACTCCTTTACTCTTTAATTACTCCCCTTACCTTACAATAAGCAATAATTAACACAATATGAGAAGAACAAATATAAATTTAACATTTTGATGCCTGCATTTCTTTTTTCTAAAATATATAGAACATTAATTTGAAAGTTTAATGTCTTTCAGCTAGAATTTTTTTAAATTTATTTTTTATGGTGGCATTGGTTAACAAAATCTAGTAAGTTTCAGGTGTACAATTTAACAATAAGGCATATATGCCTTATTGTGTGTTCACCTCCTATAGTTAGATTTCTTCCTGTCACCACATATTTGACCCATTTTACCTCATCTACCTCCAAACTCCCCACTCCCTGCTCCCCTCTGGTAACCACTAGTCTATTTCCCATGTCCATGAGTCTCTGTTTGTCTTGTTCATTTGTTGATTTTAGGTTTATATCCCACATATAAGTGATAACATGTGGTTTTCAACTTTTTTCTGTCTGGCTTATTTCACTTAGCATGATTATCTCAAGGTCCATCCATGTTGTCGCAAATGGCAGTATTTTCAGATGCTTCCATGTCCTGGCCACTGTGAATAATGGTGTTATGAACATTCGTGTGCACATACCTTTTTAGATATGAGTTTTCAAGTCTTTGGGGTAAACACACACAGTAGAGGGATGCTGGATCATATGGTAGATCAATTCTTAGTTCCATACTGTTTTCTATAGTGGCTGTACCAACTTGCAGTCCCACCAGCAGTGTATGAGGGTTCCTTTTTCTAAGAGCTGTTTTTAAAGATAAACAAAATTGACAAACTTTAGCTAGGTATACCAGAAAAAAAGAGGTTTAAATGAGGAAAAATAGAAATAAAGAGGAAAAGTAACAACTGATACCACAGAAATACAAAGGATCATAAGAGACTATTATGAACAATTATTCATATACCAAGAAATTGGACAACCTGAAAAAGTAGATAAATTCCTAGAAATAAACGGCTTACCAAGTCTGGATCATGAAAAAATAGAAAAAGTGAAGTGATTAATAAAGACTAAAGAGATTGAATCAGTAACTGAAACCTCCTAAAAAGAAAGTCCCAGTACCAGATAGTTTCCCTGGTGAATTCTATCAAACATTTAAAGAAGACTTAATGTCAATTATTCTTAAACTCTTCCAAAAACTAGAGGAGGAAGGAACACTTCCAAACACATTTTACAATTCCAGCATTACTCTGATGCCAAAACCAGATTAAGACACTGCATGAAAATAAAACTGCAGGCCAGTATTCCTGAAGATTATAGATGTAAAAACTCTAAAAAAAATACTAGCAAACCAAATTCAGCAACAGTAAATGTATCATACACCTTGACCAAATGGAATTTATTCATGGGCTACAATGGTTCAACATATGTTAATAAATAAATGTGATACACAACATTAATAGCATTAAAGACAAAAATATGATCATTGCAATAGATGAAAAAATTATTTGACAAAATGCAACTTCCATTCATGACAAAAACTCTCAACAAATTAGGTATAGAAAGAACATACTTCCACATATGAAGGCCATATGTGACAAATGCATAGCTAACAACATACTCGATGGTGAAAGATTGAAATCTTTTTCCTGTAAATAAGGAACAAGACAAGAGTTCTCACTCCCTCCTCTCCTTTCCAACATAGTACTATAAGCCCTAGCCAGATCAATTAGGCTAAAAAGTAATAAAAAGTATTTATTCATAAAAGGACAAGTAAAATTGTTTTTGTTTGCTGATGATATGATATTATTGTAAATAAAATATCCTAAAGTGTCCATTGAAAAATTTTCAGAAATAATAAATTCTTTAAAGTTTCAGGATATATAATGAATATATAAAAATCAATTGCATTTCTAGACACCAACAGTGAACTATTGGAAAATGAAATAAAGAAAACAGTACCATTTACAATAAGTATACAAATCTTAAAGAATAGATTTAACTAAGGAAGTTAAAGATATCTATTGAAAACTGCAAAACATCAATGAAGGAAATAAAGAAGACATAAATAAATGAAAACATATCCTGTGTTCATGAATTAGAAGAATTAATATTGTTAGAAATGTCCATCCTAACTAAAGCCATAAATAAATTCTATGAAATAACCATCATAATCCAATGGCATTTAAAAAAGAAAAGTAGGAAAAGCAATCCTAAAATTTTCTTGGAACCACAGAAGACCTTGAATAGTTAAAGCAATTTTTAGAGAGAAGAGCAAAGCCAGAGGCATGACACTTTTTTATTTCAAACCATGTTACAAAGCTATAGTAATGAAAACACTGTGGTACTGGTATAAAAACAGACATGTAGACCAATGGAACAGAATCAAGAGCTCAGAAACAAATCCACACATATATGGTCAACTAATATTTGACAAGGGAGCCAAGAATACTCAATAAAGACAAGATAGTCTTTTCAATAAACGACTTTGAAAAAACTATATATAATAACGAAGTGGAAGAAGGTATTCAGGGGAAGGGAGTACCTTGAACTGTAGAACAAAGCTATTGTCTTTGCTGAAAGTTTTTTTCCAATGATTTTCTAAGCTTAGATCCATTCAATTTCAGAGCTATGAAGATTTTGGAGGTAAAGGGACGTAAGTTCCACCTTAGAAGTCAGGAGACCCTGATTCTGATTTACTACATGACCTTAGGCAAGTCCCTTTCCCTCTCTGAAACTTGGTTTTCCTGCCAAGCAACATGAAGGAATTGGTCTAAGTCAGTGGTTCTCAAACTTCAGTTTCCATTAGAATCCCTGAAGGGCTTGCTACAATACATATTTCTGGGTCCCACCAACAAAATTGTGATTTAATAGGTCTGGGAGTGGATTGGAGATTCTGAATTTTTAACATGTTCCAAAGTGATGCAGTTCTTCTGGTCCATGAACCATACTTTTTTTTAAGTTTGTATTTTTAATTTTTCAATTACAGTTGACATTCAATAGTATATTAGTTTCAGATATACAGCATAGTGGTTAGACATTTATATAACTACCTACTTGGCACCATACATAGTTATTATAATATTATTGTCATAAATTATATAAATGTCTAATCACTGTGCTATATACCTGTTCACCTGAAACTAATATGACATAATATTGAATATCAACTATAATTGAAAAATTTTTTTAAATTTAAAAAGAAGTACAAATTAGCAGTTACAAAATAGTCGTGGAGATGTAAAATCCATGGACCATACTTTGAGAACCACTTGTCGAGGTTACTTCAAAGGGTCTCAGTACTCTAGAGTTCTGTGTTAGCTCTCTTATACCAGTAGTTATTTAACCTCTTCTCAGTTATGAGGTACTTTTTGGAATCTAATGGTCTATGGAC